AATTGAGGTCGGTTATCAAACAACAATATCGAGAAATCAGTTTTACTAGATTTCGTCGTTTTCAACATGTGAAGGACTCAAAGTGTGGGTTTCACACATTATACCAGTGCATGCGTATGTAAGTCTCCTTTATTGAGAGTGTGTATGTTACTGCAACCTGTGACGTAATTATTGCTTTAAAATCAGTTATGTTTTGATGATGCTGAAATGTGCATTGAGAGTTTATGTTTTGAGCGAGTGAGCGACAAAATAGCCGGGAACAACAAATGTTTGCAAATTCTTCCTACCCGATGTGAAGCAGCCTTATAATCAGAAGTGGTTAGCGCTCATTCTACCATGATTTTAGTAAATACTATTTAATTTTACTAATAATTGATTCCGATTAGTTAATTAATGTCAATCAAAGCACCATACCCCTACCCATGCTTTCACCAAAGTGGTAAACGTCTGAGACCTGCATCACTTCGGGGTTTCCTCTCACATTAAGCTGACACGCCACCATATTACTGGAATACTGTTCAAAGCGGCAGTATTTCACTCACTCACTCTTCTTATGGAGGCTATATATACTTAACGTCCGGTGAGTTGGCATGGTTACGTTCTTCAAATGACAGATACACACGCCCAATGCGATCCCGTCTGTACAACAATTGTCTCTGATAAAGTTGATGTCGGTGTCACATGGTAAATGAGTACAACAGACATATGATATAACTTATTATATATAGGAACATCATTATATATTATAAATACTTGCTAAAAAAGTAGCTGTGCTTCAAATAAAGTGGTATATTGACGATGCAGCGGCGGTGCATTGAAAACATCAGATGATTGAAAACAGCTTCCTGAATGGTGTTCCAAATGACCTGCAAGGATTGGTCCAACTGAGCTAACGTTAACGGTTAACGTTCTGGTCCTGTTGTAGGCGTCGTTCCGTCGCATCCTAGACATGTTCTGTAGTGGAGAGAAAAACCACCGGCCATGGCAGTACAGCATGCTACTGCATGCTAATGCTACCTCCAAAGGTCCTACACGTGCAACGTGTGAGCGGACAGTATCTACCTGACATTATGTCCAAGCTTTCTATATCATCTCGAACGACGTCGTCCAGGAAGCGTACGCCATTCAAACTGGCATCAACAAGTTGTGTTCTCACTTGAGTTGTGATGTCACCCCATACAATTATACTTCAACCCCAAAAGTAACGATTTTGAGTGACGCAAGCGTCGCTGAAACATTTTCCTGAACCCCTGTAGACCCTTGCACGACCATCAGAGCTGTCTAGATGAAATCTTAACTCATCTAGATCTGTCCAAGTCTTGTCTACTGAACCTCAGATGCTGTCTACACCATGCTAATCGTGCATGGCGGTGACGTGGAATCACGAGTGGGCGTATCGCTGGACGTCGGGACGGTTCTGTCACAAATTGGTACCAAACAAGGAATTGGCCGATCTGTTAATGTAACAATTTGATATCATTTGTATGATGAACCAACCGAATATGTCTGTCTACGTGACGTCACATGCGGACGACCGACCCGTAGCAAATTTATGTGTTACCCTCTTGTCTCCAAAGAGATGATATTGTGTTTTGATGAACATTAAAATGTCTGGCAACTTCTTTTTGGGCCATGCCTGTTTGCAGCATACCCACGGCGTTGCTTTTCAGCAAACCGAGGCATTGCATAAGCGTTATACACGGTTAAACAAACGTGTATTTTTATAGCTAAACATTTATTGTGTGCTCATTAAAGAGAAACATAAACTTACTCAGATACCAAGATAGAAGCCACACTCAAATATACTTAAATGCAAACTGAGATACAAATATACATGCATTAACGATCGCTTGGTGGAGCCCTTAATGTACGGATGCAAGACATTAATGTACGTTTCGTTTCTGCCCCTTTGTGTAAAGGTTTAGATAAATGGATTACCTATGGGTGAGGGTGCTCCACGTGCTACATTTAACCTTCTGTTTTATCAAAATAAAACAAATAACTTTTGATTTCATACATAATGACATACATAGAGTGTAGTGTGTTATGAAGTACGATACAAGTGGTATATACTTGTTTTAATCATATAAATTATTTATTGATATCTCAAAATTAATTGTAAATATAAAATGATTAGTGATTTCCCAATTCAATCTGTTCGATATAATGAACTTGATATCTTAAAACAGAATATGCGACATCAATCAATCGAATTTTTTATAAATAATATGTTTTAATCAACAAATATTTTTAATAGAACCAATTCGAATGTATTTCGTCACAAGTTGAAGATAAAAACAGAGTGAGTTTCACATTTTTGAAGCGGCCGTAAAATACTTGATAGCCATCCCTCATACCCCAGTGGTGCGGAGACAACCTTGTTCACACTACGCAACTAGTGAGTTCCCCACCACCACTTGTGGCATTCATCGTAAGGAGTGAACCTTGAATGCGATCAGCACTTCTCAGCCTATATCAGGGCGGCCTTGAAATAAATCTTAGGCAGCAAAACCAGTTTAACCCCGAAGGGTTGCCGGATTAGAATTACTCCCCAGCAAACCATGCTGGTCGACTTCGGTGAGGGTCGGTGGCTCGGTGACCCGGTTGATGTGTGTCAAAGTACCCTGGCAGCGAAGACTGAACCTCCGAAGGTCAACCATAGTTTCAACTTTGGCTGTCTGGAATTTGTTTTGGAATCGTCAAGGCGAATGTACGAATACGTTAATATGCATATTTATGATGCTTCATTGCGATACCATTGCTGATGGACCCGTGAAGATCCGGGGTGGAATAGGTCTTCAGCAACCCATGCTTGCTGTAAAAGGCGACTATGCTTGTCATAAGAGGCGACTAACGGGATCGGGTGGTCAGGCCCGCTGACTTGGTTGATGTATGTTATCGTATCCCCCTTGCCTGGATCGCTGCCCGTGATGTCAGTCACTGGATTGTCTGGCCAAGACTCGATTATTTACAGACCGCCGTCATATAGCAGGAATATTGCTGAGTGCGGCGTTAAGCAACAAACAAACAAACACATCGCTGATGTGGACAAACTTGTAATAAGATACACATCTCACGAAATGTTTCAGTTTTCATTTAGGGTATTTGTGCTGGAGGAAATATTGCTGTTTTTTTCAAATACACACATCACACTGTAAAAATAACCAACACAAAGAACATGAATATATCGTTTCTCTCCCAGCTTGGGAAGTTTTGACTCAGAGGTTACAAATTTCCAAACAAATTATATCAAATAATGCACTACCCTGCATTACACCCTGGTGTATACTTTATTATTTATACTAAGGAAACTCATAGCTACAAATTTAATCAGAACAAACATGTTTCAGAATAACGCAGTTATCTTCGCGAACTGCAATTGTCAAATGATGCTGCAAGAAACTCAAAAGTATGCACCCAATTACCTCATATATGCTGAAGAGTTCACTGTACAAATGGAGTGTGAAGATGAAGTGAGCAGTCAAAGGTAAAGCTCTTGTTTTGTTGGTTGGTTGGTTGGTTGGTTGGTTGTTTAACGCTGCACTCGGCAATATTCTAGCTGTATGACGGCAGTCTGTAAATAATCGAATCTAGACCAGACAATCCAGTGATTGACCACTTGTTTTGTACAATTAATGTGCTACTTTAATATAACAACGACAAAAAACAAAAAGCAGTTTTAAACCCAATCTATTCACTCACTACAGTGTTATTCTAATCGGGTTGAAAAGTATAAGAACACAAACATGACCGTTTTACTCGAACACAAATCAGACAGTTCATACATTTAAACCACCCGATTCTTGTCTTCGTAAGGTAATTTGGAACATGGTACATCGATGCAAAACTACAATGACACTTGGTTAGACCTGACCGCTTCAATCTGGAACCAGTAAATCCATGTTATAATTCATGATTCGTCCACAATCCACCCCACCCCCTCTCCTGCTTGGTCCCTGGTAAGACTGAAGTGCGTCAATGCAAAGGACTGATTTTAGCGGTTTAGAAAGTGTTTTTCTCCTATTTTAACATGAACAAATCTATTACCGATGCTGATCTTACAAAAGATGTGAATAATAACTCCACATTCTTTTGGTTAAAAAAAATTTGGATGATAAACTTGCTCCTATTTAGATTTTCCGATTTAACGAACGTTTCTCTTCACTCAGTTTATCCATACGTATTCATGTTGCCATTCATGACTTTTATCCTACCCCATCATATACCCCACCGCCCCAGATTTCATTGTAGCCATGAAGACCACCCGGGAATGAAACTTAAAATGATGTAGCTATTACAAGGACATTAGGGAGGACATTAGGGAGGCACGGGTGACCCAGTCGTCTAAGGCGCCGCAATTCGCTGTGCAGAGTTGCGTCCCTTGGGCAGGCCAGAAACCTATGATTGTTGGTTCGAATTCCGATTCGCCTCGATTATGTTTCTAGGTTTGTCAGCACCATACCCGTGCTCGTGGGTAAACGTCAGAGACCTGCACTACTTCGTGTTTTCCTCCCACATTAAGCTGACACTGGATTACTGTTAAAAGCGGCGTTAAACCCAACTCACTCAAAGGACATTACGGCTGTTAGTACTGACAGTTTAGAACATAGCACATGTCAATAAATTTTAACGGTAATGGGTACAATGAACTTCAGATTTTTGGTGTGTGTTGTAATTTTAGACAAAGGAGTATTTCCATGGATCGTAAGGTAATAAAAGCAAGGACAAAGGGTAAAAAACGATTGCATATTATAATAGATTATGTATGTACACACCCACATCCACCCAAAACGTAGCTTAACAACAAGAACCTTTCCATTGTTAAATTGATATTATCCAATTAAAGTGTATCGAAGAAGAAATAGTGTATAAGCAACATTCAGCTCATGACTATTCACGTCCACGTGATAATATTTCCGAGTTATCATGTCCGGGCTATGAAGAGCAGGAAATTAATGTAATGTTGCTGGCATGTGCTTAAGTGTAAATGAGTCCTCTCGCAGCTGTAGCATAGTCTTGTGAATCAATGTTGTGACCGAGCTCTTGCAGAAGGGATTAGGTCCTCAGTTTAAGATATTTTGACAAGAAGCTTCAAAGCTTTCGTTTCTTCTTCATAATGCGAATTCAAATGACCCTGTTGATGTTGTGTGTCTTGTGGAGAATTTACAAAGTGAAAGGTAAGTGTTAAAATTGCTTGTATTGACGCTTTGAGCTTGAGCTATACTTTACATATCATGTTTATTTGACATAAACATGTTCATGTTAGATCAAGAAGTCACGGGTTTTTTTCTTATATGCATGATCATGCATAGATCTAATAAGGCAAACTTCCTTGACATAAACATGTTCCGATGAGATCTCACAATGCACTTATTCCCCATATACATTCTCACTCATAAAGTTAATGCGACACGCTTATTTATATTACTTAATTGAACATGTTCAGATATGGGCACGGAGGCACGGGTGGCCAAGTCGTCTAAGGCACTGCGATTCGCTGTGCAGAGTTGCGTCCCTTGGGCACGCCAGAAGCCTATGATTGTGTGTTCGAATCCCGGTTCGCCCCGATTATGTTTCTAGGTTTGTCAGCACCATACCCGTACTCGTGGATTTCACCGAAGTGGTAAACATCTGAGAGCTGCATCACTTCGGGCTTTCCTCCCACATTAAGCTGACACGCCGTGATATAACTGGAATACTGTTAAAGGCGGCGTAAAACCCAACTCACTCACTCACTCAGATACGGACACACGTTAAATTTCGAAGATAACCAGTGACATAAATAAGAATAATGTGTGAGTTCTACAAATAACACATGCCCTTGGGCCCGGAATCCTAACATGGGGCTGGAATTGAGGCGAAGTAAGTTAAATTTGATATAAAACCGGTATTATGTTATTTTAAAGCATATGAAAAGAGAACCTACATATTCATTTATCATCCAAAACTGGCTCCAAATCGCTTGTAGATATCGCTCCAATGAAATTGCATCACAATGCTTTGCAGACCATTGTGACGTCATTGTTACCATGACGACACAATCGATGGCTCTGCTACTGAAGCTGTTAACAGTACTTTTTACACTTAAGACACTGTTTATTACTGTCTACAAACTGAAAAAGTTGGAAGGATGATGTTGGACGATAAATCTCACCCTGGTGTCTTTTGATATCAAATATATCATCACTCGTTGATTCTCTATATATCAAAATTATTAGACTATCTACTGTGATGCTAGACGTTGTCATCGTAAGGGAACATAACCTGGTCATGTTGCAGCAGCATTGTGATGTTCTGTCACGGGATGAGTAATACAAGGACGGTCACGAGCACATGTACATCAATAAGCATGCATGACAGAGTCAGGATGCAGTGTCATCGGTCAGCTTTGGGAGTCGTGATGTATTATCCGGACAGTGACCTGGTTTTCCCGAAAATCTAATGGTTTCATTCTTTTTCAACTGTATAAGCAATAGTTTGCAGGTCGTAATCAAATTAAAAAATCACAATTATGATAAATCGTTGAATTTGGTATGAATGTATTGTAAAAGTTATAACCTACAAATATATAACATTTATTTATTATTATTATTATTATTATTATTATTATTATTATTACCCCCGCTCTTCCCCCAATCGCTTATATTTACCAGTCATAATGGGAAGGCGTGGTTTGATTAACGTGGACGCTCTTTAAAATATAATTGTTTTGTGCACTTTTCACACGCTTTTTTGTCTAATGATCCACTTGTGAAGCATGTCATGACTCATGATGAAAACAGGGTTTTCTTGAACGAGCCAAGGTTATGCGACATAATCTCAATGTCAGTGTTGATTTTGTTGATGATCCTGTACTGCTGGACGGTACAGAAATCACTGTCAACCATGCAAAGTGCCATATCAAATCTGCCCAGATGTTTTCAAGGAGAGGCTATGTGAACGAACACTGCAACGAACATATGTAGAGTGTGTTGAGAGGTTCAGCAACCCTGCAGAGTATTTGCTTGAATTAAGCTGGCTTGTCTGAAAGGTGAAACAGAACGCTGTCTGGGTTGCGTGTAGAGCGGAAAAGGACCCTGAGCTTGTGATCCTAACCACCCAGTATCACCCAAACCCTCTGCTGCATTGTTTTATCACCAACTGTTATTTGTTTGCGGCTGACTAACAGCACCAGTGTTATAAACTGAAAATTTATAGCAACCTTTACTCTGTATGTTCTCTCGTGAGCCATCATTTCCCAAAACATGGGATTGTTGTACCAATCATATATATTATGAATTACCTTTTCTAAATAATATATCCATGAGATATACTCAAATTTCTTTAAGGTCACACTGTCCTGACCACTTCCACACCAACATCATCTGATGGCGAGCTCTACACCATGATCTGCAGCAAATCACCAATGGACCGCAGAGATGTATCCTGGTTCCGCGATGGCACCAGGGTCTTTGTAACACAAGGGACATCCACTATCTATAACATTGACTCTAGTGTCAAAAACAGCTACCGGTCAGGGCGTATCAATGTTCACTGTCATGCCCTCCAACACAATGTGACCATCAGGATCAACTCGTCTATAGATAACGGTACTACTTGGTGGTGCAAGGGCATAACAACGAGCAACATACTGATGATAAGTGAGTAAAAGAAGGATGGAAATATTGAAGACCCAGGTTAGAATTGTTCTTTCCATGCTTGACATAGAAAAAATTGCGTAATAGTGAAATCTTAAGTTGTGGATACTTCATGATGTCATGAGGAATAGCCATAAAAATTGAACCATCTGTTTCGTTGTGACATGTCAGTAAAACTAGGTGGAATGTAACTCTTTGTAAATAGAGAAATTTGAGTAATGTGCAGTGATGAAGTATTTGAAGAAAAATGACTTAACACCGAAAGCCAGAAACGGGCATAACACTAAGGAAGGATGTCCCATCCTTTTCAACCATGAAAGACCCGTGAAGACCCGTGAATAGCTCTTCAGCAATCCATTCTTGCCGTAAAAGGCGACTATTCTTGTCGTAAGAGGCGACTAACGTGTTCGGGTGGTCAGGCTCGCTGACTTGGTTGATACACGTCATCGGTCCCAATTGCGAGGATCGATGCTCATGATATCAATCACTGGATTGTCTGGTCCAGGCTCGATTTTTTACATACCCCACTTCATATAGCTGGAATATTGCTGAGTGCGGCGTAACGCAACAAACCAACCAACCATAAAAGAGCTGGTCAGCAGCTTGGCAGGTCAAGACGACCCCCTGTCACTTCAGCAACACCATACTTAAACCAGACAATCCATAATGCTGGTTCATTACTGGGCATTTCCAAGTGAGAGTTCATTCCATTGTCACAGATACCTTCGCGATAGTGGAAAGTATCAGATCGTTGGGTTTCAATACTTTTGACATCTGATAGAACAACGAACCATGCACTTGATAATCTGTCTCTTTAAAAAGCGTATTGCAACTGTGAATGGGGGCCAGTTAATAAACGGAGCATATTATGCTAGAGTTACGGGATAAAATTTAGACAACGAGACATGGGAAGCTGAGAGACGGTGTGCTTGTCCATCAGGACAATGCGCCAGTTCATAAATCAAGCATTGTCAATACGACAAATTACGATTGCGGCTTTAAACTACTTCAACACCCACTATTTTCCGGATATGGCTCCGTCAGATTTCCATCTATTCCCAAACACGAATGAAGCTATAGCTGGAATCCATTTCGACTCGAACGATCACGTCATAGCAATTGTGGAGAACGGCAAAGAAAAGGACTACGAAGCTGGGATAAGATCTCTCCGCTCTCTACGTGTAATACTGTGTAAAGGGATTATGTTAAACAATTAAATTATTTCAATGTCTTCAGGTTTAATCTTACTATCTGAGGCTCACAACATCTCAATGATCCCTCGTATATTTGGTGACATCAGTAGCCCCGCTAAATATTCTGTTAATTGGAGGTGTGACAGTAAAGAATATGTTTTTTTTGTATTGGTTATTCTATTGCGTTGACGTTTTCTATTTGCGTCACCCCTGATGTTTCTCAGTTTGTCAGCACCTTACCTGTGTTATAAGTGGTTTACATCTGCGACCTGCCTCGGGTTACAACCCGAACAGAAACAACGTGAAATGTGTGATGTGTATGTTACTCTCAATACCCATAATGGATATGTGGTTCCTTGTTGTGAAATGGATAGACTGTTCACTCTATTGAATTGCCAGACATAGTGAAGGCTGACATTTAGATAACATAAGATAACATTATGTAATAACGACGGAATTAAAACAGGGCAAAACCGTTTGTGGAAAAGACGTTATGTTGGTTTCAAGCATCCTAACATTGGACAAATGAAAATGAAGAATGATTTTTCAGTAAAAGAAACGTCTCCACACATATTTCCCAGATAAATGTCAGATAAACGTCTACAAAATACCTTTTCCACCTTTTTAACCATTACATGCCAATTTTATATTATGAAAATATGTATATCCTACTAGACATTGAGGGGAAGCCATTTGGTGCTACAACGACAAGGGCAACAGATGTGTCGTCATTTACAACTCCTGACACCATAAGCACGAGCACAAAGTGTCCACGTACGTAGTTTAAGTGTCATTTGATTAACAATATTTTAACATGGCATAAATGCAACCAGTCATTTTACAAATGTTTCAAATTTCACAAAAATGTTTGTAAATGTCTCAGAGTGTAGCAGAGCTGTATCATAAAACACTATGTACAATACGAGAACGAACGTATATAACGAAATTAAGAGAATATAACACAATATTTCTTACATTGACATCTGTTCTTCACAGCACGTGACAGCTCACGCGAGATCATATACCTCGTGGCTGCAAGTGTGGGCGGCACTGTGGCAGGCAGCGTCGTGACTGTCGCCATCCTCATCACATGCTTTAAACATTGCAGGAAAGGAGGTGAGGGTTGAAACTATTACTCGTGAACATGTGTTCCATCTTGTTGCCGTGAAAGTGTCGCAAAATTGCCGCGATCCTGTAAAATATTCTCGCGCGAAAGAGTCTCGAAATGGGTGCAATCGTTTCGCGTTAATGTCTCCAAAGTGGCGCGATAATTCCGCGTTAATGCCACAAGAGTGGCGTCAAAATATCGCGAAAAGTTCGCGAAAATAGAGGAAGTTACTTATCAGATGTAGTGTAAGTAGCCAGCTAATTATAGAATGAACTTGGTATTTAAATCAAACCAAATAATGGCTGCAAAGTGTACCACAGCTGGACTACAATAGGATAGTATGTTGATCATGTCCCTTGGTTTCCGGCTGTACTAGGGAATAAGCAAAATATTACAAACAATATTTCAAAATTTGGTGTGAGTAGACAAATCGATTATGTTGCAGGTGTCAACACAGCTAACACGTACGATTCTATATCTGCACGTGAAGACATGGAGCACCTGTATTCTCCAGTGCAGGGTGGGGTTGAGGCACCAAACTACGCCAATACTCCAGTTTCCAACGCCGTCAATGATGTGACAGTTGCAATGGATACTGGAGATGAACAGTATTACAGTTTTGTGGGGATCACTGATGCTGAAAGGAACCCTATTCGCACCTGAAGCATCGTTCATATGAGACCCGTGAAGATCCGGGGCAGAATAGGTCTTCAGCAATCCATGCTTGCCATAAATGGCGACTATGCTTGTCGAAATAGGCGACTAACGGGATCGGGTGGTCAGGCTCGCTGACTTGGTTGATGCATGACATCGTACCCCCATTGCGTGGATCGATGTTATTGATGTCAATCACTGGATTCTGTAGTCCAGACTCGATTATTTGCAGACCGCCGTCATACAGCTAGAATATTGTTGAGTGTGGCGTTAAACAACTAACAAACGAACAGCAAACTTTCATATGCCACCACCCTGATGCTACGATGACACACACAGTTTACTTTTTCTTGTTTGACATTGATTTCAAATTCTGTAGGATTCAGGTTAACCCCTTCATGATACCGCAAACGGCTAAATAAGTAAAATCTTGAAATATGTATTTCCATGCATCGCATAACATATGATCATACAGGTATCAGAAATCAATGGCGTTGACACACGTGACCAAACAGATAAAGAGAATGGTATGTGAAAGTGTACGAAACTTATTGGATGCGCTGGGGACATAACGTTGTAATTACAAACGAATACAAGCCAGTTAAGATTGTCTGATTGTAATATATTGTACAGTACGTGTAAAACCTGGTTCAATGTACAAATGTCTTTTGCTATATGCCCATGGCACTTGGCATATGATACAGACAGAAAAGTTGCTATTTGGATATATTTTAAAAACAATTGAAATTGAAGTATATGCGTCTGATGCACATGCGTATAATCAGCATGTTGGGGTAATGCCCTTCATATTGTTACCAACAATACCTGGGTGGTCTTCCTGATAAGGATGTCTCTCCCTATGTGTGGTTTAACCTAGTACAGACATGAACTGAGATAACGCCAGTGTCACAGTGGTAGGTACGAAACTACTATATGCGTAAGGAAGAGAATATATGGATGTCAACTTCTTTATCATGAGGAACACAACGTTTCGGAGTATATGTTTACTCCTTCATTCTTCCCCGCCCTTAAGGCGGGGAAGTATACGGGAAACGTTAAATTTGTGGCATGTATGTCGACATGTTGGTTTATTTGAAATTTCAAGCCACGCATTTACGGAAACAAAACATACAAATCATGTGCGTCGAATGTTGATGCTATTCTTTTCCAGCAATAAGAGATACTTCAAAATCGTCTTTATGTAGTTAATTGATGTATCTGACCGTTTCTGGTCATTAGCTGACATTATTAAACCATTCATGTGTAATCCGATGTCCTTTTTTCCTCAACGACTAATTTTCTGATTTTCACGGTGTATACAAAAGAAGAACTGTGCTCCGGAGCTCGTAAATAACAGTAATAATTTAAATGTAATATGGCTGAATTCCATATTCTACATACCACACTTTTGATTGTTTGGATGCTCATGTTCACTGGAAATATTTGGAATAGTTATATTCCGTATTTTGAATTAACCTAGTCCCCCGTGTGTGTTTTTTAATCAGTTCACCGCACATAACCACATGTGAAACGTTTGGTAGCAAAGTCAAAGCAAAATCGGAGTAGTGTGTCAGCGAATTTGCATCAAGGCTGTATTATTTTTCAACCGTTTAATGGAATTCAATGTACAGCCGTAGCTCTGGTCATTCATATATTTTGTGTCCAATAGCTCAAATCTATTTGCGTCTGTACCGTGTTCCACTGACCTCGATAATCTGTTGGATGAAGGCACAGCTCTCTACAGCCACAAAGTTAACACCGAAGGCTATGAGGAGTATTTAGGTCATAATCAGTCCCCAGCAGCCACTTCCTCAAGCGATATTGTCTACATAACAGATCAGTTTTATGGCTCCGTCACAGGTGCTCAAAATATTGAAGCAGGGAAAACAAATTTCATAGAATCATTTCAAAAAGCAATATTGATATCCCCGTCACTTTTGGTAACTTTTAATGATGTCTCCATTGCAATTTTTACGGATTTCGATTCGTATGCATTATTTGACTGTCATCAGCGGAATGGTCTTGGTCAGATTGATCCGAATGGACAAGCGGTTTTACTTCTGTTTAGTAGTATGGATGAATTGTCATGTTACATCTTAACAGTATATATATATCAGGCTACTATGCTTGTCGCAAGAGGCGTCGATCCCAATTGCGTGGATCGATGCTCATGATATTAGGCACTGGATTGTCTGGTCCAGACTCGATTATTTACAGACCGCCGTCATATAGCTGGGATATTGCTGAGTGCGACGTTAAACGACAAACCAATCAATCATCATCATATGAACTCAAATCAGTCATTGTTACAAGTAAACCACATTCCACAACAGTTACTGACACTGGATAAAAAACAGTATATAGAAAAAAAACAACTAACTCAACTCATCATGATCACAATTACTATTCTTTGAAAGAAAGAAATACAAAAAAAAACTGACCAAAAAACGTAAAACAAGAGACGAGGAATCTCAATTATTGATTAGTCCCGGTATTGAAATGTTTTCCAACTACGTGATAATATTTTGAGTATGTGCATCTGTGGTTGTGACAAAAAGACCTTATCTAGTATGACTTTTTTTGCCATATGGAGCCCTTAGTATTTTCATTTACATTATTATAACCAAATGCTAAGTGTAAAAAGAATGTGATCTATTTTTTGAGTATGTGCATCTGCCAATGTTGTTGGCAGTTTTGATACTATTTCCACATGTTTACATTTGTGCCAGAAATTGCTTCCTTTTCCTTCGATCTACTTTTTAAATAAAGACCCAGGTAAGAATAGGTCTTCAGCAACCTATGCTTGCCGTAAGAGGCGACGAACAGGATTGGGTAGTCAGGCTCGCCGATTTGGTCGATGCATAACATCATATTCCAATTGCGTATTTCGATGCTCTTGGTGTCAATCACTGGATGATCTGGTCCAGACTGGATTATTTACAGACCTCCGTCATATGGCTGGAATAATGCTGAGTGCGGCGTTAAACAAGAAACTATTTTTAAATAGACCTACCCTATGCAAATGTATCAACTGTATTGCCCAATACTCAAAATAAATAATATTTTTTTCCACAACAGCGTTGTGTTATTTGTGGTTAATATAATTATGCTCCATCATGCCTTTCAGTAACATCATAATTATGCGTTTGTGAGGCATCACATATGGCGGGGAAGTTTGATGCTCTGCATCAATGTTTTCTTGTCGGGTGAAAGGAGTGAGCATATATTCCGAAACGTTGTGTTCCTCATAATAAAGAAGTTGACATCCATATATTCTCTTCCTTATGTGTATCACTTCTAAATGCCTTTCAAAGACCCCAAAGACCTACAATATGCGAGTATACATGTATATACTCGTAGATTTGTACAAGACAAGAGCGAGTGAGTATGGTCAAACGCCGCTTTTAGCAATATTCCAGCAATATCACGGCGAGGGACACCGGACATGGACTTCACACATTGTACCAATGAGGGGAATCGAACCCGGGTCTTATTCGTGACGAGCGGACGCTTGTACCACAAGGCTAGCGCCCAGTCCCACAAGAAAAGAAATCAATGCAAATTGATCATGAGGCAAATACTCATGCCAAAAAGAATATTTACGGACAATATCAGTGTGGCAGGAAATAATATACAATCTGGTTTTTATTCATCAAACCTTAAATGCAAACCATTCACATTATAGTAGAATCTATTTAGATTTAGCCTGATTTAATGAATTCGTATTACAATAGCGCCCCCATGCGTGGGCGGCGTAATATTCCTAAAAAATCCTAATTTGGGCTATAAAACATGATTTAGTTTTCGCAGAAATTCATTGATACGGATTATTTTCGGATCATTCGCAGCTTCTCCGCGGAAATTTCGCTATTTGACTTCAGGACACGACAAAAACTTTTGTTTCTCTTCCTTTTTACTGATTCTTTTCCTCACTACAGTGTGACCAATACAAACACGTACAGAATCAATGGAAGATGTTAACTATATTTCCAAGATCAATTTCCTTTAAAAAATACAATGTATATTATTCATTTGGGTTTGGGTTTGTTTTGTTCTTAAAGTTATTCCTTTGACCTGAGGTTAGGTCATTTCAAGTCAATGTGTGTTCACTATCACTGCAAAATGTTCAACTCTCTATTTTGGGTTTGTTTCATGACACCCGTGGATTTGAGTGTCACAGTTTACTTACTGAAATGTCGATTGGCGATGAAAATATGAGAGCATTTAGATATTTTCAGATCGTTTCAATAAATTCTACGCCCAAACAGGAGAGGGAAACAAATATTGTATTGTATTTGGTTTTATTACAATTAATGTGTGTACATGTACAGGTACTTGGTTAAAAAACACCTACAATGTACATGAATGGAGGGACGTCAAAATTTGTGTGGTCACACAGTGAACGTTGATAATAATATGAAGTGCATTGCATGTACTCCTACAAAACTGATTATTATATACGCATTTGCATTAGACACATATACTTCAATTTCAATGTTTTTTTTATTTAAAACGATCTATTTACTATGGATCTTTCTGTGTGCCAGTGCTAAGTGTCCTTGTGATATAACAGTTGACCTTGTACATTAAGGCAACTTTTACACGTACTGTACAGGGTATTACAATCAGACAGACGGTCAGTAAGACAGGTATTATCTTGTATTAGTCTGTAATTAATGGGGTATGTTCATCAATTGTCAGTGCATCCAAGTAGTTTTCTACTACTTGACATCTCCTTTTCATTGTGTATTTGGTCACGTATGCCAACAAACAATATGTTTTGCATATGCAAATACATATTTCAAGATTTTCGATATTTTGCCCTGTGAGGTATGATACCAGGGTCAGGTTATTAAACTCAGTCGCTTATATCACATAAAATATTTCACATATTGTCTGTTGAGTTGTATACAAGGGTCGGATAAATAATCTTTGTGTTTTTCTCTATATATTAAACAGCGGAGTATGATTAGAATGATCAGTTCAGTGTGGCAAAAACAACGCAATGTACATGTATAATGTGTACAACTCTCAATCGAAAATAACTGTATACTGATTAAAGTTACATGTGTGCGTAAATATTTCTAATTTATCGTAATTATATAACCAGGTCTGATTGTTCTGACCTT